CCTTGCTTGAAGAGGGCTGCCTCAGTGGACCAGACTGACCAACTCAGCTACCACCCAGCCCCACATCCAGGGCTTTGGGGTGCCCCCCCTCCAACATCTACCCTATCTACGACCTGCTGGAGCTCACGAAGGCTCTGGACTCGGGGCTGATACAGGATATCTAAGTGGAGTTTCAGTGAGGGTCCAATGATGATGGTCTACCAGAAATCAGAGGCCTTGAACCATACCAGTGTCTCATTGCTGCAATGAACATTTGCCAGTAAAGCTGACTGAACAAAAGGTATGCTGTGTGATGCACTAAGGTTCCCAATGACACTAAGACAAATGAAGAGGTGTTAGAGAGGCAGGAAAGAGAGGGGAGCCGGGATTTTTGTTTGTTGGTTTGGTTTGGTTTTGGCTTTTTTTTTTTAATTTTCTTTTTGGGGGATGCTGCAGGGATGAGGGGCAGATGTAGGAGGACTGGGACATGAGCTTCAGAACCGGGTGCATGATGTGAAGACCCCAAAGGATCAATGAAGAAATTATGTTAAAATATATATTTAAAATGGAAAAGATCACTTCTAGCCTAACACCAAGTGTCCTTTGGAGAAACTGGACAGTCACTATTCAGTCAACTGTTTAAAATCGCAAAGGCAATGGTTGGTTGTGTTAATGCCTTCTTTCCTCTGAGACTCTTCTACCAACAACCCACAACCTCAGGCTTGCCAGAGGAAAACACCAGACTAGTTCTAACTCAACACTTGACCCAGGCTCCTGAGGATGATCAAAGTCATCAAACCTAAGGGCAGCTCAAGAACCTTGTCACAGCCGAGAGTGTTCATGTCTAAGTATCACCCTGTATCCCAAAAGGGACCCTGACATGAATTAATAACATTAAATAAAAATGAATGACATCTAGGAGCTTGAGAGATGGCTCAGTGGTTAAGAGCCCTGGCTGCTCTTCTAAAGGACCCTGTTCCCCCACTCATATGGTGACTCACTACCATCTATAACTCTAGTCCCAGGGAAATCTGATGCCTTCTTCTGGCCTCTATGGGCACTGCATCCATGTGATACACAAACATACATGAAGGCCATACTCACACATGCCTACAATAAAACAGAAACAGTGTCTGGCTGGCAATTCAGCCTTTCTTATCCCCAGAGTTCTCTCTCTGCCCCTAAGTCCCACCTATACTCTTCTGCCTAGCTATTGGCAATTCAGCTTTTTATTGCACCATCACAGCAAATCACACAGTGTACAAACATCCCACAACACATCGTTGACACTTGCACAAGTTGATCCTGAAGCTTAGTGTGTGTGTGTGTGTGTGTGTGTGTGTGTGTGTGTGTGTGTGTGTATACAGGTGTGTGTGTCTGTATGTGTGTCTATGTGCCTTGGTGCTCACTCGGAAGTCAGAGGACAACCTGGGAACCTTGGGCTTGGCAGCAAGCACCTTAACCTACTGAGCCATGTTGACAGCCCAGAATCCAAGACAGGATTTCGCTGTGTAACCCCCGCTGTCCTGGAACCTGCTCTGTAGACCAGGCTGGCCTCCAACTCAGAGATCTGCCTATTTCTGCCTCCTGAGTGCTGGGATTATAGGTGTTCACCACCACTGCCCAGCTTATAATTTTTAAAGTTGTAAATTTTTTATCTATTATGTGTGGGTATAAGAGACACATTTGCCAATATGTGAATTGCCAAAGCACACATGTGAAGGTCAAAGGACAAGTCCTCCCACAATGTGAGTGCTGGTGATCCTACTCAGGTCACCAGGCTTGCTGGCAAATACCTTTACCCACTAAGCCATCTTGACAGACCCCCAAAGTGTAAGGTTTTTCCTTGACTTTTTAAACAACAACTTTCAAAGAATTGCTTGAAAGTCGCAGGCATCGTGATACTTCACCCCTAAAGCATGCATCATTAAACTCCTAAGAACAAGAATATTGTCCCACATGTGACAGTTTGAGTAAGAACAGCACCCATAGCTCAGACATTTGAACAATTGGTCCCCTGTTAGTGGAACTTCTTAGGAAGAATTAGGAAGTGTAGCCTTGTTGGAGGAGCTGTGTCACTGGGGGTGGACTTTGAGGTTTCAAAACTCCACACCAAGCCCAATCTTGATCTCTCTCTGCCTGCTGCCTATGGATAAGGATGAAAAATGCTCAGCTACCACTCTAGTGCCTGCCTATCTGCTCCCTGCCATGATGATCATGGACTAATCCTCTAAAACTGTAATCAAGTCCCCAATTAAATGCTTTATGTCATGGTGTCTCTTTACAGAACTAGAACAGTAACTAAGAAACCATGTAAGCATGATCGTATGTCCCATCTGAGAAAGTTAGTATTCATTCAAAAATGCAGCTTATTCTCTAGGCCATGTCCATGGGTCCTCAATTGTCTTTCCAAAAATGTCTTTTGTGACTTTAAACACAGACTCCAATAAACTTCATATATGTCATTTAATTTTGTTTGAAGAGTTACTGTGTAGCCCTGGCTGTCCTATAACTTACTACCTAGACCAGGCTGACCTTGACCTCATAGAGATATAGCTACTTACGCCACCCCAGTGCTGGGATTAAAGAGGTGAGCTACCATACCCAGCCCTGAATTTGCTTTTCATTCTTTTGCCTCTTGGTTCTGGAATTTGTCTGGTTTGTTGTCCCCCTACCCCACAACAATGTTGACTAGGAAGAGTCCAAGCTAGCTGCCATAAGGAGCAATTCATGTCATATGTTTGCTTCATTGGCTATTAATTCCTTACTGTCATACACAAGGAGGGTGTAGAGAGAATCTCTCTTTAGAATAAAAACTTCTAAAGAAAATAAAAGTTGGGGGAAGGAGTCAAGGCATAGTTCAGTGGCAGAGTCCTCATTAAGTATGTTTGTGGATGTAGGTTTAATTACACACACACACACACACACACACACACACACACACAGATAGACAGAGTGGAGCATGTTGAGGTAGTTAGAACATACTTGTGATGGTTAATCTCCAGTGTCACCTGGAAGATTACCCTTAGGACATACCTTTCCAGAAAGATTAACTGAGGACAGGAGACCCATCCTGACTGTGAAACATACCATGGACCACACCATCCCTAGGCTTCAGGCCCTGGTTGAATATACATACATGCATGCATACATACATACATACATACATACATACATACATATATGAGCATATGTGTGTATAGAGAGTTTAGCATCACCATTCATCTCTCTCTGCATTCTAACTGTAAATGCAATGTGACCCATTGCCTCATGTTCCTGCTACTGTAACTCCCCTGCCGCCATGGACTACACGCCAAAATTGTGAGACAAAATAAACTTATTTTTGTTGGGTAGTTTGTCACATGGAGAAAAATCACTATCTGCCTTCACAGGGAACATGAGCTGCCCTTGGTTGGCCCTGGCTGGGGTCTACACATGTCCCTTTCTTGTGGGTATGGTGGAAAAGAGGCTGTACTTACCCACTGGCTTAATTTTCACACCCAGGACTCTGCCCTGTCTTTGAAAGAGTTGTATTCCCCATCCTGGACCCTAAAATACCAAGGATATCTCTCTCCAGGGACCCATAACCTCTTCTTACCCAAAGAACTATTCTGGAACCCCCAGTAGGAGGTGGAGCTGAGGAATAATGGCTCAGAGCCAAGAATTGATCCTACCAACTTTGAGCGGTATCCAGGTTTGATATCAAGTGACCCAGACAGTTGGGCCAGCCCAAAGAGGACAGTGTTGAAAAAGGCCCCTCATCTGAACCCAGAAGTACTGGACTGACTCTCACAACTCTGAGATCTGCAGCCCCTGCCCTGCAGGTATGTCTGAGTGTCTTTTCCGATCATGGTATCTTCTTCTGTATCCTAAATGATATTAGAGAGGGAGAAATGGGGACCCTGTGGGAACTGAAGGAGGTCTGAGGTTTTGTTCCTTGCTTCTCAGCCCTGAACCTTATTCTGTTTGTGTGTGTGTGTGTGTGTGTGTGTGTGTGTGTGTGTGTGTGTGTGTGTGTCCACCTGTCCATGTGTCTGTTTGTCTGCCTGTCCAAATGCCACAACTCAGAGAAAAACCTTCACGAGTCAGTTAGTTCTCTTTCCATCATGTTTATTCCAGGGATCAAACTCGGGTTGTCATGCTTGGCACCAAGTACTGTGAACCACTGAGCCATCTCACTGAACCCCTATCTTTTGTTGTTGTTGTTTGTTTTTCGAGACAGGGTTTCTTTCTAGCTTTGGAGGCTGTCCTAGAACTCGTTCTGTAGACCAGGCTGGTCTCAAACACAGAGATTCTCCTGCCTCTTGCCTCCTGAGTGCTGGAATTAAAGTCATGGGAAACCATGGCCTGACACTAGCCCCCTATCTTTAATTAAGCAGTTTCAACTAGGGTGATCTCTAAGGACAGTTGCCTGGAGTGAAAAGGTGTGGGAGAGAATACCTGCCTGAGGAGGTGAATGAAGACTCATATTTGGAGGAGATGCCCCTGCTTAGTATTGATAGGTGCCATTGAGGGAAGTCAATATCACAGGACATTGGTATCATTCCAGGGACACTGACCTTCTGTTGCTTGGGCAAGGGGGCATCTTCTGTTACCTGGGTGTATAGAGGGTACCAACAGGGATTCCACACTATGTTGGACCCTTTGGCAGAAAGCCCAGCAAACACTGTGATTTGGGTTGTTAACAAGCTGTCTTTAGTTTCATTGTTTTGGAGTGATCGTTTGCATCCATTCCAGTCTTGGAATTGGAAATGAGAGGAGAGGCAGACAGGAGTGCCTGAGGTGGAAAACCAGACATAAAGTGGGTAAATGCAAGGTTCTTTTGATGCCCTTGAATTTTGTGATGGAGTAAGGAAAAATTCCTGAGGGAGGAGGACATATGACAGGTATATCTTCACTTTCCTGGCTGAGAGCTAAGCCTAGAATGTATGTCTACTGAATGAGTGAGCGAAAGAATCCATGGAGGTTCAGAACCCACCTGTAACCACCCCATCCTTCCATTTCCCCTCCAGCTGGTACAGATGGCACTGTCCCAGTACACCTCCCTGGCCACAGAGCTACTACTGGCCTCTGCCATCTTCTGTATAGTATTTTGGGTGGTCAGAGCTTTAAGAACCCAGGTCCCCAAAGGCCTGAAGAGTCCACCAGGGCCCTGGGGCTGGCCCCTCCTTGGGCACATATTGACCCTGGGGAAGAACCCACACCTGTCACTGACAAAGCTGAGCAAGCAGTATGGGGACGTACTGCAGATCCGCATTGGCTCCACACCTGTGGTGGTGCTGAGCGGCCTGGACACCATCCGGCAGGCCCTGGTGCGGCAGGGGGATGACTTCAAGGGCCGGCCAGACCTCTACAGTTTCACACTTATCACTAATGGCAAGAGCATGACCTTCAACCCAGACTGTGGACCAGTGTGGGCTGCCCGGCGGCGCCTGGCCCAGGATGCCCTGAAGAGTTTCTCCATAGCCTCAGACCCAACCTCAGCGTCCTCTTGCTACTTAGAGGACCATGTGATCAAGGAGGCTAACCATTTAGTCACCAAGTTGCAGAAGCTAACGGCAGAAGCTGGGCACTTCGAACCTGTCAACCAGGTGGTGGAATCAGTGGCTAATGTCATTGGAGCTATGTGCTTTGGGAAGAACTTCCCCCGTAAGAGCGAGGAGATGCTGAGAATCGTAAAGGGTAGTAAGGACTTTGTGGAGAACGCCTCCTCTGGGAATGCTGTGGATTTCTTCCCCATCCTACGCTACCTGCCCAACCCAGCCCTCAAGAGGTTTAAGAACTTCAACGATAACTTTGTGCTGTTTCTCCAGAAAACAGTCCAGGAGCACTATCAAGACTTCAACAAGGTGAGCCTGGCCGGCCGGTTGTAAACCCCATCACCACCACAGGCCCAGAGAACACCCCCTCAAATCCCACTCCAAAGTACTCAGACTGCCATGTGCTGCCACAGCCTAGGAAGGCTCGGGACCACTCAGAGCAGCTGTGTGCCCTGAAGCCACCCCCCTCCCTGTTCCCCACAGTGCCCTCTGGGGGCTTCTCCAAGTCCCAGAAAACAAAGGCATGTGAATGGAGCCTTGGCAGAGCTTTGCCATATGGGGCGTCGTTAATTCAAAGGCTATTGTTGTGCAGGAACTTGAGCCTCAACAGGGGCTAAGCTCCAGCTTCATGTCACCTTTCTTCCCTGTATTCACACCTACTTCTTCCTCCTCTGAAACCCGACCCCTGGGGTTATGGGAAAGAAGGGTCAGAGGCACATGAAACGACTATGCTCTATTCAGAGCTGATGCCAGTTTAAAACTGTAAGCCCCAGCCCAGTGCCTGGAGGCCAAGGCAGTTCCCAGGTGCTGGGGATATATCAAATGGAATGGGGCATGACCTCAGATCTGGCCCTCAAAATGCCAAAGTTCCCCTAAACTTGTGTCCTTGTAGAACAGTATCCAGGACATCACAGGTGCTCTATTCAAGCACAGTGAGAACTCCAAAGAGAGCGGAGGCCTCATCCCTCAGGAGAAGATTGTCAACATTGTCAATGACCTCTTTGGAGCTGGTAGGAGCCATACCCCTGTGCCTTTATCCATCAGCTACTATGTATCCATTCCCACCCTATCAACTAATTCACCAACCACATGTCAGGTGGCATAAGACAGACACCTGCCCTAGGATCAAGGTGTGACCTCATGCTGTGCCACTAACTCCTGGGAGAAACTCAACAAAGTCCCTCTCCTTTGGGGGCCTGGGTTTCCCCACCTGGAAGTTAGAAGGATTCAGGCTGATAATTCCAACCACTGACTATGAAACCAGTGTCTATTAGGTTCTTGTTTGTTTGATCGGTTTTGCTTTTGGATTTGGTTGGTTCTGACTTGTTTTGTTTAAGACAAGGTATTACCTCTTTATCCCAGGCTGGTCTCAAACTTATGGCAATTCTCCTGACTCAGACTCCTCAGTGTTGGGATTCTAGGTCTAAGCCACCATGGTTGGCTTTCAAGTTGCTGTTGAGGACTCAACCCTTCCCTCCAGATACAGAGGGTTGGGAGCCAGAGAGAGGTAGTGCTTGCTCCATATGTGGTGTTGCTTGTTAAAAATGTTTTCCTTCTCCATGATGTCTTTTCTCCTTCACCATACTCCCTGCTGCCCAGGATTTGACACGGTCACAACAGCCATCACCTGGAGCCTTTTGCTCCTTGTGACACAGCCCAATGTGCAGAGGAAGATCCATAAGGAGCTGGGTATGTGTTGCTCCCAATACTATAGTCAGAGAGGCCTTCAGGCTCCAGGTCACTTGTTGATCTACAAATACGTGTATATGTGCCTACTATGTTAAGTCCTAGGAACATGGCATCCCCCACTTGTCCAGATAAGGTGTGTGTGCCCGGGGATTGTGAGGTCTTAGAACCATGAGGAAACACAGGCCAACACAGGGTGACACTAGTATAACAGGGACACACAGGCATGGAGCAGACAGCACATCCCATGAGCTCTGCCTGTGCTTTGCAGACACAATAATTGGCAGGGATCGACAACCACGGCTTTCTGACAGACTTCAGCTGCCCTATATGGAGGCCTTCATCCTGGAGATCTACCGATACACATCTTTTGTCCCCTTCACCATCCCCCACAGGTAAGGCCCCTGTTCTGTGCCCCCTAAGTTTTCATACTGTCCCTCCACCCAGGTCCTCAGCTCCAGGCCCACCTCAGGCTGTATCTCATTCCTGAACGTGGTAACCTCAGCTTCTGATCTCATAGTCTCAGGTCTATCCCCACCCAGTCCAGTCACTATGGTCTCAGCAGTTACTCACCTCCACTTGTGTTTGCTCCCTGTGGATAGCTTCTGCTCCAGCCAGTCCCTCCTCACTGTCCTTCACAAGGGTAATCCAGCCACCTGCCAATTTGGCTTAAGCTGGGCCTTCTGCCTGGAAAGACATCTATCCAGCTCCCATGTTCTACCCTTGCCCAAAGTCAATCCTGACATATGAGTCCCCTTCTATCTAGAAGACTCTTTTGGTTCATCCACCAAGTAAAGCTTCATCCTCAGGTGATTTGTAGGGTTATGAGAGTGAACATCTCCCTCTGCTCACACCTTAGCCTAGTTATTCCTGGTACAAAAGCTGCAGACTCCCCCAGGGAAAGCCCCAACCACTGAATTATTGGCTTCAGAGACTGCCCCAGTGCACAACTGAGCAGAAGGAGAATCTAGTGAGTGTTGAAATTAAAGGACAGGATCCCAGAAAAAGGAAGGATAATACCCCCCCATGTTCCCTGCCCTTCATGTGACCTCCCGGTATGGGGCTTGGAGACCGTGGTAGTCACACACTGGGATGGAGCGGAGCGAGGAACAGCCACACCACAGCTTCTCCAAGCCCTGAACTGGACAGAGCTCTCTTCCCTCTCAGCACAACGAGGGACACCTCACTGAATGGCTTCCACATCCCTAAGGATCGTTGTATCTTCATAAACCAGTGGCAGGTCAACCATGACGAGTGAGTACACAGCCCTGATGGGAAAGGGGATTGCTCAGCAACCAGCAACTGCTCATATAAGAACAACATCTCATTGCTAGATAGCCTATTCCAAGTGACACACTTCAGACCCTGTTGCTCAAATTCAGCGTACAGAAGAACTTACTAGGTATCTGGTGTGGGTGGAAAATGCTTGCAATTCAGCCTGCTCAGAAGGCTGAGGCAGGAGGATTACAGTGAGTTCAAGGCCAGTCTGGACATCTTGGTAAGTTTTAGGCTAGCCTAGGCTACATATCTGTCTCAAGGAAGGAGGGAGGGGGGGAGGGAGGGAGGGAGAAATTGACAAGAAAATTTCCCCATGCCCCAAGGTTGCAGTTGGGTAGATAATGATGATACCTCAAATGACTTATGGGAATGGTCTAATGATGCCCTTGGAAAACTCCTCTCTACTTTGTAGATAGGCCATCCATCCAAACCAGGACGTATTGAACATGAGAACACCATCCATATGTGTATTGTCACTTTTTAGTCCAGAATAAGAAGCATAAGCCAAGGAAGGCAGTGATCTCCCTGGCTACTGGCCTGTTGGGAATAGGAGGGAGGAAAACATGTTTCCTTTCTTTCAGTTTTCTTTTGATACAACATTATTTCCTTGAGTTACAAATGAGAACAGGAGCTATAGCTCACTGGTAGGATATGCGATGTGGAAGGTTCTAGGTTCAAATCCCAGAACCACATTTTTAAAAAAACGGAACTAAAACAAATGAATATTAAAACCACTATCATCCATAGGTGGTGGTTTCACATGTCTTCAGTCCCAGCTCTTGGGAGGCAGAGGCTGGTGGATCTCTGAGTTTGCAGCCAGTCTGGTCTGCAGAGTGAGTTCCAGGACAACCAGACCTACACAGAGAAAGGCTGTCTTGAAAAACCAACACAACAAGCCAGGCGTTGATGGCACACACCTTTAATCCCAGCACTTGGGAGGCAGAGGCAGGCAGATCTCTGTGAGTTCGAGGCCAGCCTGGTCTACAGAGCGAGTGCCAGGATAGGCTCCAAAGCTACACAGAGAAACCCTGTCTCGAAAAGCCAAAGAAAGAAGGAAGGAAGGAAGGAAGGAAGGAAGGAAGGAAGGAAGGAAGGAAGGGAGGAAAGAAGGAAGGAAAGAAAAACCAACACAACAAAATAAAATACTATCTTGGATCATGGGAATGGTTCAGCAGGTAAAGGCATGTGCTGCCACACCTAACACCCTGTGTTCAATCCCCAGGCCCCCCACATGGAAGAAGGGGAGAACTGACTCCTGAATGTTGTTCTCTGACCTCCATATACACACAAAGTACATAAATAAACACATAATTTAAAAAATTAAAAAATAATCAAAATCCACTATTTATTTTATTTTATTTTTTGGTTTTTTGAGACAGGCTTTCTCTTTGTATCCTTGGAGGCTGTCCTGGAACTGTAGACCAGGCTGGCCTTGAACTCACAGAGATCTGCCTGTCTCTGCC